CCCCCACACACAGTACCCCTACCCCCCCGCAGCACCCTTACACATATAGCACACACACAGCACCCCCCACACACACACAGCACCCCCCCCCACACACACACAGCACCCCTCATATACAACACTCACACACACACGCACCCCGCACCTCAATGCAGTATGTGTGTATTCAGCAGTGTGTGTGTGTGTGCGTGTATTCAGCAGTCTGTGTGTGTTTGCGTGTATTCAGCGGACTGTGTGTGTGTACTCAGCAGTCTCTGTGTGTGTGTACTCAGCAGTCTGTGTGTGTGTGTACTCAGCAGTCTGTGTGTGTGTATTCAGCAGTCTGTGTGTGTACTCAGCAGTCTGTGTGTGTACTCAGCAGTCTCTGTGTGTGTGTGTACTCAGCAGTCTGTGTGTGTGTGTGTCTGTGTGTGTACTCAGCAGTCTGTGTGTGTACTCAGCAGTGTGTGTGTGTGTGTACTCAGCAGTCTGTGTGTGTGTGTCTGTGTGTGTACTCAGCAGTCTGTGTGTGTACTCAGCAGTGTGTGTGTGTGTGTACTCAGTAGTGTGTGTGTGTGTGTGTGTACTCAGCAGTCTGTGTGTGTGTGTACTCAGCAGTCTGTCTGTATGTGTATTCATCAGTCTCTGTATTCATCAGTCTTGTGTGTGTGTATTCAGCAGACTGTGTGTATGTATTCAGCAGTCTGTGTGTATGTATTCAGCAGTCTGTGTGTGTATATATTGCATTTGTTGGAGATACTAATAAATATAAGCTTAATTTTATCTATTTATATCATTATTTAAAATTTGTATCATTGAACTCTCTGTGTTCTTTTAAAACAAAAGTTATTAGTTCGGACAACAGTACGAGTTGTTTTTTTCTAAACTTAAACCTCAGTATTTGGGTTTAATTGCCGTGTTGGCACTTTAAGGAGAAAAAATGTTGGCATGTATTGCGGTTTGGGCACTCGGGCTCAAAAAGGTTCGCCATCACTGTTATAGCAGCTAGTCAGGAGCAGTAGTTACATCCAATACAATATCTTACAACCAGCATAATTTCATGTTTTGAACACTCCTCACTGGGTAACGGTATCATTTTGCCCAATCTTGCCAAATTACATTCTGTAGTTCATGCTTATCTCCCTAGCAACCTGGGAAGATTTTGGCGGTATCTAGCAGTTACTGAATCAGTAAAGGTAGAAGCCAGGCCTAATATTGGGGGCTTCGGGAGGGGCTTTGTTATGAGATTAGGTGGTTTTAATATTTTTTACCTTGTCTTTTTGTCAGTTTGTGCAGACCCCAACTGACTTACTCTTACTGGTATTGCTCAAACCTTATTGAATTCCTTCAGCCTTTGTACCCAGCCAAAAATGTAAAGGCAATATGCCTTGAGTTGTGGGAGGAATTTTGTCTGTCCTATATATAACCTCTTTCAGTTATCTCTTGATGTTCTGCTGGAGATTGGGAGCCAATCCACCTCTTCCTATAATAATCTTTCAGTAGGTAGGCCCTCTTTTTTCAGACTTACTTGTTCGTCAGTTTTGGTACATCACAACTGACTTGATTTTACTGGTACAGCTCAAACCTTATTGTGTACTAGTATATATTTATTCAAAGATGGATTGGGGCTCCCTGCTAGAGCCCTGAGCTCTGTTTCTGTGAGTGGTGTGTGTTGACTGAGTGTGTTTAGTAGCTGAGAGCGGAATGGGGGCCTGCGTGCGTGTGTGTGTGTGTAGGGGAGTCTGCGTGTGGCTGACTGTTGCATATATTTTTTCTCCCCCATTATTTACCTTCCATGTTGGTCCATTGGATAGTGAGCAGGATCCCTGGTGGTACAGTGGAGTGTGAGATGGATCCCTGGTGGTCTGGTGGAAGAGCACCCTTGCACTTCTGGCTCTCAGTAAAGAACCGAGGGGAGAAAGGACACACTTAAATTGGTCTGCATCTGATAATGGTGCCACATCACTCCCTCAACAAAGTGAGGGTGGCAAAGCTATGTAGGGAGATTTTTTTTTATTTTCCTGCCAGTTTGAGGAGGGCCCACAAATACCATCTTGATTGCCTGCTGGATAATCTGTCTCTGTATATACTATATCAAGGTTATTTACTAATGTGAGGATTGTCAGGAATTCAAAATGAATTTCAGACTTTAAGGGCTACTCCAATCACAATGACTACTTCAGTGATTTGAAGTGGTCATGGTGCTTATACATGCAGTGTTCCATCATGAATCCCTGCAGATACATAGTTCAACCCGTCTTGCTACCTGTCTTGTAAACAGTGGGCTGTAGTGACTATGATGCTTGCACCAGCCATTTAAGCTCAAAGTATAAAAAGTGGAAGCATAATTGACTGGGAGAATTTTTCCATTTTGGCTACTTTTGCCTTACATTTGAAATTCACTATGAAGTCACTTTGAATCCCCAACAATTGTTACTTTAGCAAATAACCCTCTATATATTATTTGACACAGCGTATATATTTTAGAAAGTCAAGTACATACATAACAGAAATGCATACAAAATATTAGAAATTCAATCTGAAACTTTATCATAAATGGGCAGAAGATGTATATCACATATTATGTAGTTCTTAGCAAGGACTGTGCAGAATAATTTTTCATTTTTTCACCATTTTTCTGTGATGAAACAATGTTTTGGTCATATTTTCATTTTATTATTTTATTGGATGATTGTAACCAATTATTGTATAACTGAATTCCGACCAAATGGCAATTCTCAGATGTACTAAAGCCAAATACAGTTGGAATTTGGTCAATCCGAGTGAATCTGCAGCAATAACCCAAATGCATTCAAAATATAGGAATTCGAAGATTCACAAAGCACCGGTTTTAATAAAATTTAGGACCTAATGCATCCAGTAGTATGCATATTCATAAATATAGTTTACTTGCTTATTTTCACTTTGTTTTTTTGTTATGAAAGACTTCATGATTTCAGCTTCCTCAACTGCTTTACAAGTTTACTGCATTTCCCCTCTGCCTTATTTTATAAAAGTGCTGTCACTTTTGTAAATCTCCTCAGAAACACCTCTATACTGTCAAGCCGGTATCTGGGAGGGTTTCCTGTCTCACTCGTTGGGAACTATAGTTCAAAGGGGAAATGCTACTCATAGAAAATCACTGGTTTCAATGCCTCTCTACAAGAATCATTGCTGGTAGATTGAAAAAAAATCCCTCTCGTTCACCATGTGCTTTAATGCAAAGTTGTTGCAAGAAAACTCTTTGGCTGCTGGAATAGAGGGGAGTTTAATAGGGATTTTAATTATTTCAGTGCCAAAATGGTTGACAGGATGATCTAAACATGTATCTACTATCTATCTATCTATCTATCTATATATATATATATGTATATATATATATATATTAAATTTTTCAACTGGAGTGTTCCTTTAAAGTGTCCCTTATATTAGTAAAACCTAACTTTTCCCCCCTTTAACATGTTGATAATGAATGATAATGCATTATACAGAATATTCCATGTCAATTTCTCGATGCAGTTTGCCCAGGGCGGGGAATGGACTTGGCGTCTATGAGCTTCTGAGTCTGTGGACTAATGATGCTGGCCCTTATTCTGGCCTGGTGCTGGAGGAGAGCCCTGCACCGGCACTGACTTGCAGATCCTAGCTCGGACTTCCCCAATCTTGCACCATCTCTGCTGCCAATGGGAAATGGCTGAACTCATGCCGGGGGTGAATCAGATATTGGAGTATGCGGCTGGCTCTATCATGCATGATCCGTGGCATGTTGGTAATATTATTCATCTCACCACAATTCCTCCTATCCATGTTAATTTTTCATGTACATTCCTTTTATGTATTGTGGGTTGTGCGGTGTGGTTGCATGGGGGTTCAGTGGTTGTCATTCATGTTTAATACATTTTGTGGCACTACTCCTAGGTTTGATACCCATTATCATAATCCTGAGTTAGTTTTCATTGTACTACTCTAGGGCATGCTACTCATATAACTGTTAAATTAGCATGTGCTGAGGGGCAGAGCTTGACCTCTGAGCTGCATGGATGTACTATTGTAGAGCTCCCAAAACTTGGCGACTAATCCTGCTCAATCCGAGGTCCCACAGTGTCATCTACACCAGTGGCCACTACTCACTTCACCCTCACACAGTAGACTACCATCTGACAAAAACTTTTTTTAAACAAGTATGTGTAAATACGGCTATAGACAAATCCAGCTGCCATTATAAACCTTGGCTTGAGAGTGCCCCAAAAAGTCAATTCTTACGTCTTCGCAGAAATTGTTCAGAACTTACAGATTTTAATGAACAAGCAGAGGTTTTAAAAAATAAATTTATGGAGAAAAAATATTCAGAATCTGATCTAAATGCCACAATTAGTATAGTAAAGCAGAAAGAACGAAATGAACTTCTAAAATATAAAAATAAAGAAAATAATGAACTAATATCACTTCCAGTGATTTTTAATTTCAACAATAAAAGTAATGATGTTAAAAAAATAATAAACAAACATTGGCATATACTCAAACATGATGAGATACTTAACTCTATCATACCCATCCATCCTAATATTGTTTTTAGAGGAGCACCCAATTTTAAGTCTATTTTAACCAGAAATTTTACCAAAAAATCTCCTTCTAATAATGTATCTTTCTTTCCTCAGACAAAAGGTTTTTATAGATGTAAACAATGCATTGTATGTAAAACCACCGATCATTCTATCCCATCTAAAA